CCCCCCACCCCAGGCTGGGTAAGGTGCCATTCCATAATAAACTGTAGGTCTCTGTTTACTTCTCTGTCTTCCCCTTGAGACCGAAAATTCCTTGAGTCCTGAGGAGAGACTAGAACCCATTTTTCTGAGTATCTTCTTCATCTTCAATGCCTGGTGTGAAGCAGATGCTCAAAAGAAAAATGTCAGCTGAATGAACAGATGACTGAATGTCTACCCAGTTTTCCTTTCTTAGCAAATGTGACCCCACCACGCTCTCAAGACCCCATGTCAACCCTTAGCACAGGGCGCTGACTCATCTGCCCCTCACAGAGCACTGGCATGAGCTGACCACATCAAGTTCACCATCCCACAGGGTTAAACAAAAGCATCAATGTCTATACAGTCTCTCTTAAAAACTACCATTCCTTTTTCTCAAATGCACCATTATATCTAAGTCAGCAAAGTTGTCTTAAATTTTAAAAAACAAACAAACAAACTCACCCCATGCCGAAATTTAAAATCTTTCTAGGATAAAGTGTGTGGTTATTCAGAGCTTAACTACACATGCCAGCCATCATGCATTCCAAAAGTTCTTTGTGCAAAGTGTTACTCTGAGAAACTATTCAACCTGCCTAAGAGAAGATTTGTGGCAGAAAATAAATACATACACAGTGTATATACTGGAGGTACCAAAGTTTTTAAGTGCTAGCCCTTAGGGTCTGCGGGAATTTAACATCTTTTTGATTAAAAATATCAACATTTTCATTTTAACTTGAAGGTTAGGGAAACAGTATGCTATTTTGCTAATTATTTTTTTCCACAAGGGAATTTATTATTAAGGACAGGGATCTTTTACACATCTGGCAATAAATATAATTAACTCCTTCAACAGGAAGCCTATTGCAGTACTTATTATACACCAGAATTCAAATTTTAAGTCAATATTTGAATAAATAAATGTCTTTGAAATAAAAAGCCAAAACTTGTTGAAAATATTTGTATAGGTGTCTCTCAAATGCTTATGTGTGAATCTCTGGGAAAAGCCATAAAAACTGTCTATTTGCTTTTTTGGCAACTGCTATTAATTTGGAGACTGGTCATAAATTTCTGATCTTATTTATTTATTTATTTGGCTTCATCAGGTCTTAGTTGTGGCACGCAGGACCTTTGTTGCAGCATGCAGGATCTTGTGGTTGCAGCACGTGGGCTCTTCTCTAGTTGTGGTGTGCGGGCTCAGTAGTTGTGGCATGTGGGCTCAGTAGTTGCAGCACGCAGGCTTAGCTGCCCCATGGCATGTGGGATCTTAGTTCCCCAACCAGGGATCAAGCCCATCTCCCCTGCATTGGGAGGTGGATTCTTAACCACTGGGCCACCAGGGAAGCCCTCAGATCACTTTTAAACACATACCCAAGTAGTCATAGGCAGGCCCCAAGATAGGAACCCCTGACTTCTGGGTGTCTGTGGATGAAAAGACACTGAGTTAGGAAAGTCCTTCCTGCCACAGCAGGAGGGACTTATACTTGTCACAGCCCCTGGAGCAGGGGTTGTTGAGTCCTTCGATCCCTCTATGTGCTGAGTGGCTGAGGTCTGGGGAAATGGCTTCCTAGCACTCTGGTTCCCACTGGAAGTTAGAACCTGCTTTTCTAAGAAAACAATGCTGTAGCTCAGTGATTTTCAGGGGAAGAGGATATCCAGCTGGAGGGTTTTTTCCAAACTATAAACACCATCTCTCACCTCCCCGAGATTCTGAAAGGTTCCCAGCCATGAATTACCTTATTGCCACCAAAAAGGAAGACAGTGTGTTGAAGCTCAGTATTGGTCCCAGACTCTTCCACAATTAGAGTATAACTAAAGAACAGATGCTTACAATAGAATATCCTACTGTTGTATTTGTCATTACAACATATACACTTAAGCTCCAGTATAGGAAACCAAATAGTAGAATATGATCACTTGTCTAGGAGATAGCCAACATGGCTAAAATTAATTCTACGGAAAAATAGATTCCAGGCTCCAAATAAGTGTTTATTACAAAAGTCTGTTCTTGAGTTTGGATCTGATAGTGGCTTAGGGCATGTGTAAAGCATGAAAGAATAAGGGGTTACGTTGTTAGTTTAAAGGAGAAATAAAACCAAGATAAACAGAAAGAACAAATTGGATTCTATGACAAGGTTATACTTAAAAAAAAGAAAAATCTTGAATAAAGTTGAAATAGTGTTGCTTTGGGTGGAAGGACACTTTAAAAATGTAAAATAAAAATCAAGGTGAAAGCTTCTGAGGAAAAAAAAAGAAAGGAGACCTTGCCCCTTTTCTCTGATGGTAGTGTCGCAATTTCGAACATTCAGCATCATTCTAGGAATGTCGAGGATTCTTGTTCAGTGAGTTCCCTTCAGAAGCTAGGTGGCTGAGGCCAGGAGGGCGTGCCATGACGACTGCTTAATCGGGAGGAGGGATGAGCTGGGAAAAGAGGTATTGGGGCAGGGCGAAACATTTTGGAGTTCCACAGGACTCTCTCCTAGATCCAAAACTCCTCTCTCTCCCCCTCCAAGTACCTTCTCCATGCAGTGATCTGGGAACTGGTCCTGGCACACTTAGGAATACCAGTACTCATTTATACTCTCCTTTCTCTCCCTTCCCCTCCCACTTCCCTCTCTGTGCCTGGATAATTCTCACTCATCCCTCAGGTCTTAGTTTGGTTGTTACTTCCTTCGGGAGACCCTCTCTAGCCTCCCAGATTAAGTTAGGTTTCCCTGTTATTTGTTCCTGTAACATCCTGGGCTTTGAAACGCTCATCACATTTGTAAGCACTGGTTTAAGGTATGCCCTCTGGCTAAACTGCAAAAGACATGAATGCCAATTGTGTCTCCATCCCTAGCACCCAGCTCAGGGCCCGACCCACACAACGACCTGATGATCACTGAGTGCATTGTTGGATAAATGAAGAACACAGAATGAGAAAAAACAGGATGTGGAGACAGTTCGAAGTGAGCTTCAGTACAGGCAGAAAATGGATACAAGACTACAAAGCACATGTGGTATGTTCCTGACTATTAAATCCTAGGTTAGGAATCTCTAGGGTTAAGGAAAAGAGGAACGAAGGAAGGAACTGCAGCTACTAGAGGACACAGTTTTAAAAAGACATTTACACTTGACACTAATTTGTTTTAGTCATATTATTAAGAATTCATTTGGAATTTTAAATACCTTTAAAGAGTGGCATCGAATTTTAATTTCCTTCAAAAAGAACCATGTTTTTAAAAAATTTAACATACTGCCTCCGCTCACTACTCTGATTAGTTTTGCAGGGTGGAGGAAAGTGGTAATCACAGCCGTACCAAGACCCTCATGTACCCCCACTGTATAAGAAATAATAAAATTCATGGGTTACACTGGCAAAATTCCATAAGAAATATGAAGATATCCTTGGAAGTGAGAAACTACCTTCTAGTTGGCAAGTGTCTGCTAATTTAATTGGAGTTCTGAAGTGTGGTTCTCCAACTCTATCCTCCACTGCATTATTTACAATGTCCAGTTATCTCCCCCTCTAAAGCTGCAAAACTGTCCTTCCCAAAGAAATAAATACTTTCAACAATTTATAAGAATAAAATGACTAACTAGCAGTAGAATGTTTTTATGAAAATATATTTCCAACCTGATAGTCTATGCCCTACATTTGTGTTGTGGAAAAGTTGTGCCTGATGTCAATTATCACATGCAGTAATAAGACATTTAATGCCCTGGCAAGTATGGGGTGTATGAACCTCTAACTGGGACTCTCACATTTCAGATTTTTGTTCCCTTTGCCAAGCAGAAATAAAGGTTTTCTCTTAATCCTAATGGATCTGACAAGCATCAATTTTCATATTAGCTTATTGTCTGATATTCTTTGAAATGGAACTGCCTTGAGCTTTGAGTAGAGAAATCACCTTTCCAGTAAGAGAGCTTTCATGATTACCAAGCAGTGAGGGACTTCCCTGGTGGCACAGTGGTTGAGAGTCCACCTGCCAATGCAGGGGACACGGGTTCGTGCCACGGTCTGGGAAGATCCCACATGCCGCGGAGCAGCTGGGCCCGTGAGCCGTGGCCGCTGAGCCTGCGTGTCCGGAGCCTGTGCTCCACAACGGGAGAGGCCACAACAGTGAGAGGCCCATGTACCGCAAAAAAAAAAAAAAAGCAGTGAAAGATTCCATAAAGCAGAATTGTAGTGTGGAAGAGTACACAGGAGCAGGGGAGAACCATAGCTTTTCAACTGACACACATGTGGCATTCTGCACTTCTCAGAATGTGAGAAGCCTGCAACTGAAGCATTATGTGTTTGGTTATATACACCTGACTTTCCCATGAACTATTTAAGAGCAAGGGCCACACACGACCATATAACGTAGAAGAAATAAGGATAGTGGCAGATGGGGAAGGGCAATTGTACCTACCTATTGCCCTGCTTTGTTCTAGACAGTTCTCATACACACTGCTGCACTTGGAGTTTCCCGGCTGTATAAACAACAAATTGTGAAACATTTACAAACATAGTAAACGTTCATAAACTTTCAAAAAACAGACAAAACACTAATAATGCTCCCAGCAGAATTTAGCAGACAACTCCATTTTCTGACACAGGAAGTGTCTGACAGGTGAGAAAAAGAAACAGATTTTGGACGGGGAGTATAGCCTCCTTTCCCAGTGCACTGTTTTGGAACTGCAGAGGTGGGTCTGATTAGGGTGGGGGAGGTCATAAATGTAAGGTCTATATCCTGAGGGTTATAGACCTCTGCTTGGGAGGTCACATTCCAGGATTCAATCCAAGCTCAGCCAGAAAGTGTGATTTCCAGGACACTTATATAAACACTGGCCATTTAGCAAACCTCTATCTAACTGTGAACTGGCAGATTGGAGCCCCACTCTACTAAGGTTTGTGCCAGACCCACTTTTCATCCTTGAAAAATCTCATGCTATCAAAGGCTTCAATTATCCCATATACACACAGCTCTCTTCAGTAAGGGTATGGGATCCACTGATGCCTTTGAGAAGGGCAATGTTTTTGCTTTAGAAAGATTAATCCAGCAATACCATGCAAGAGGGTTTAAAGGAATGAACCTGGAGACAAGGAAGGGGCTTTCAGAATCATCTGGGTAAGTGAGGACCAGAACTTAGAAAGATGCAACAGGAATGAAAAAGGTTGGGTAGATTTAAGATACTTTCATGGCAGGATCCTAAGTCTTGAAGACTGAGTTGATAAGTGTGAGAAAACAAAAGACTGTAGGTCAGTGAAAGAATAGGAGTGCCATTAATAAACATGAGTACGTCAGGAGAGGAATCTAGCCTGGAGTCAAGGTAAAATGCTGAGTCTAATCTTGGTATAAACAAGCAATGAAATGCTTGTGGCATCACAGCTGGAGAGGCAGGTAATGGCTGAACACAGAGAAGCTGGTGGAGTGTGTGCACAGGTGGCATGTCAGAGGAGAAACCAGGGCCAAGGGCAGAGCACTGGACACGGATTCCACGGTGGTAAGGCTTGGGTTTGCAGGGGAGGGCAAGGGAGAAAACAAGATATAAAAAGGAAAGATGTGGGCTTCCCTGGTGGCACAGTGGTTGAGAATCCGCCTGCTGATGCAGGGGACACGGGTTCGTGCCCCGGTCTGGGAGGATCCCACATGCCGCGGAGCAGCTGGGTCCGTGAGCCATGGCCGCTGAGCCTGCGCATCCAGAGCCTGTGCTCCGCAACAGGAGTGGCCACAGCAGTGAGAGGCCCGCATACCACACACACAAAAAAAGGAAAGATGCAAATTACTTTGAAACACATCAAAAATCAGATGGATTGATGGGTGATAGCTGACAACATGGGATGACAGGGCAAATAGAGTATAATTATAATTGCAGAATCTAGGTGGTGAGTATATGAGTGTTCATGTGTAATTCTTTCAGCTTTCTTGTAAGTTTGAATATACTCAATAAAATGTTAGAAAACATGAAAAAAGAAAGAAAAGCAGCAACGAGAGATGCAGAATGAGAATGACAGGACGAAAATGTTTAGAAGCTAACAGAAGAGGTCTAAAAAAAAAAGAGGCAGCCAACAGATATCACAGGCTATAGACAGATTCAGAAAATTGAAGGAAATAGATTTAACAATTAAACGGTTGGTGACCAAAAAAAAAGTTGGTGACCACTGTAAAAGAAATTTCTATCAAGTTGTCAAGCAGAGTTCAGATTTTGGAAGTGTAGTGTAGATGTGAATGCAGAAATACAGGCAGTGTTTTCTAGAAGTGTGTGGGTGAAAGGAAGGTGAGAGAGAGGTAGGACATTATTAGATGTGTTGGAGGAGTCCGAGTTTATTTGCAGAACAGAAGCGAAAGAACAAGTAGACAGACAGAGAATAAAGACTGAGACAGAGGTTGATGGACAGAACAAGGGCACAGAGTTGGTAGGAGGGGATGGGATCAGAAGCTCAGGGGGAAGATTAGCCATGGAGACAGTAGTTAAGGAAGAGAACCAAGGAGAACACAGGAAGACTTGGAGATGCGGAAGGGTGAAGTTGAAAATAACATGTTGGACCATCCTTGTCTTCCCAATGAAGTAAGATGTGAGGTCACTTGCTGAGGTTGAGGTTGGGGGATTGGGAGTAAAAATTATTGAGTACAGGTTCCGACAATGATTCACTCTCTGGCTCTGTACTGAGGAAGATGATACCTTCTCTAAACTAGCATTTGGTAATCCTCAAATTAAGCTCTCAGTGGTAAGGACAGAACTTCATTGTTAGTTCTAATAGCAATAAAACGTTACTTACCAAATAGCACAACTTTTCACACCGTATGGGGCAGTAAGCCATTTGTTCTGTGGTTTGAACTTTGATCCGTACATCTGAAACACCACCTGCAGGCGGCTGCTTGCCCGGGATTTCATTGTAATACTCATGATCTTCTCTCTCCTCAGCATGGTCATCAACGTGCACCTCCTCACTGTAAGGGAAAAAAGAATCCCCAAGAGGCTGGGTGGGAATTCAAATGCTGTAGGGGATGTAGAGTGATCAGAACCATGCAAATCGTCCTGAAAACATCTGGATGGAAGCAACCAGATGGCTGAGTTGTTAGGTTTCTGTAGACAATTAAAGTGGAGTAAGCCAACAAAAAGTGACAAGGGTGATGCTTTTGTGTCTCCTCTCAGTGATAAAATATATACATACACACATATATATGAACTCCCTGAATGTCAGTTGTTTTTGTCAATCGGATAAAAACACAAAGTTTTCCTGGATTTCTCCAGCACTCTTTCATTGTACCATTTTGGAAATGTTTTGCTCAAAGAAAATTTAAATATTGGGCAGTGGGCCTGGCCCAGTTTACTAAACCAAGATGAAAAAATAGAAGGCTATGGCCAGCTAACTTGTCTGCACAAATCTGGAGTATATGAGATTCATAAAGAAATATTAGAACCATATGTGGCAAGTGGGGAGATTTGTGTAAACATGCATTGCTTTTAAAATTGAAACAGGGCAAAAAAAAAAAAAAAAAACAACACACACACACAGATTTTTCTTCCAAATTGGAATTAGTAAAAGTTTCTTATGAGAAAGAATAAATCAAGTCCATTTGAATTGAGCTGATTCCACTGACAACCCACACAGTTTTGTTGGGTTCATTACATGTCAACAAAATAACAGCACTAAGAGGTAAGTGCTACCCTAGGAAAAATTCAACAACAAGGCCTGCTGGTAGCCCCTCTCCTTTGCTACCCTAGACCACCTCATACAGGGAGATCTCCAAACCCGGTGTCTGCTGATACACAAAATGACAAATTAGGGGGGGTTTCCAGAAATGCATTTAAAAGTGTCCAAATATTTTATTTCTTGGGCGTGAATTCTGCAAGTCAGGGGCCTCACCGCATTCCACACATGGTGGAGTCTGATAGGCCTGAGAGGGTTCAGCTTTCATTGTGGACTAGACAGAACAACCAGATCCCTGGGTCATGTCATGTTCTACCCCTGCCACAGTCCGGCTGGAGCTGATCTATTTGCACTGCAAATGAACAAACTAATAGGAATTCCTGCCACAGACATTTGATTCTTATTATTTTGCTCTTCTTTCTTAATTTTTTTAACTGATCTGCTGCAAGGGATCTGGGGTTGAAACAAACCTAAGAAATTTGTTCATGCTCATTTTATGACATTACCTAATTAATTCATAGCTCTGTATACCATCAGAGAAACAGGGTCGACCCCTTCTCACTTTTAGTGTTTCCTCTAATTCTATTACAAAGCAAGAGGAAATACCTGAACAAATATGAATGGAAGAAAAATAGAAATGTCACTATTAGTTTGTACTGAAACTGTACCTATTTGTAAAAAATAATTACTAAGCTCATTAGTCAATTTAAAATGCCATATTAATTTTAAAATGAAACAAAATATGATAAGTCAAATAACTATAGAACTCCTGGCTGACCTTTCAGAAGAAGTATTCACAGAAGGATTTTTCAAATACTGTTTAAACCGGAGTTCAAAAGCCTGCCCTATGGTACTTATGACGTCTTGGGCCATTCCATTGCTGCATTCCAATATGTGGCAGGCTGCAAGAGGACATACAAAAAAATTACAATAAATTTTCAGTAAGAGAAGATTAGATAAATTCAAAATACTTCCAGAACATGAACTGGTAATTGAGTAAAAGTAGGTTTACAAGCTCTCTTCAGCTCTGAAATGGCACATACTTCATATTTCATATGCATCAAAGAGAAGAAACATTCATATTTGACAACTAAGTATCTCAAAACACTTATAAACTTTGGCCTGGAGGCAGGTATTTGGGGCCCACATTTTAATAAAGGCAGACTGATCTTGACTAATAATGTGACCCATGTTCAGTGTTAGCTCTAGAATTCAATACAGAAGATGCTTAGGGCAGCAACCTGACGGGAAGATGAGGTTTACAGCCTTGTCTTTGAATGGTACACTACAGATGACTGAGAAAGGGTAACTCTCTAAAGCTCCCCCCACAAAACGGGGGATGAGCTACTAGTGAAGAAAGGGGCTTTAGAATACCCCCTCCTCTAGCCATCCCTTTTCCCTGTCATTGCTACTAGAAAGCGGTGATCCCTGTCTTTGAAATCCTATTAAAGAACTATCTCCAATAAACATCCAGACCAAGATTTCATGAAGCTGACATTACTAGAAGAGACTAAAATTTTTATTAGACACTTTCTTTGAAAAACAGTTACTGGAAAGGGCTAGTTATCACTAGCAAATTAAAGAAATAAATTGTGGAGGGGGCAGCTGACGGAACATCACAAACGAATTGGCACATCCGCTGCTGCTGCTTCTGTGTAAAAACCAGAGCTTGTGTTCAGGGACTATAAATTAATCTCCCCATCATATGGAATATCAGTTGCCTTGGTTAGAGTATGGTGTTGTGCTTAGGGCCTTACAATACAAAACCTGAATTGAATTTGAAGTTTCCTCAGGATGGCTTAGAAAGAGTCATAAGGATGACTTAAAGATATAGGCAATAAAGTCTCATGAGAAATTTTTAAAACATATATTGGTTTGTATAGCCTGAAGAATTGAGGGATGAGGAAGAGCTTGATAATGGTTCAATATATACAAGAATGTTGTAAAAACTGTCAGCTATTCTCTGAGAATAGGAAAGGCTTAAGCTTAGATACCAGGGAAGCTGTGAAACGGTGGAACCATGGAACCAACACTGGAACATTTTACTAAAAGGGATATCTGAGGAGAGGAGGCTACCTGTCGTGATGGAATGATTTAACTGTGTTGACTTGGAAGCATGATTTTAGGCTCTGCATTGTCTTGAAAAGGATTTTGTATTATTTAAAGTAAAAGAAAATTCATTCACTTCTAACTGAATTTGCAGAGCCCATAACTGGGTTAAGGTAGAACTTACAAGGGTGTTTCCTAGCTTTATGCTGATATTATCTCAAGGAATCTCAGATAATTCTCATTTCAGAATTAGCTGAACATTTACTTAAAGAATTGATGTCTCTGAACTTTGGGAAGGGGTGGGTGGGTGTGTGTGTCTGTGTGTGTGTGTGTGTGTGTGTGTGTGTGTGCGTGTGTGCGCGTGCAGGGGGTGGCATCAGTAAATCAAACCATGCTAAGGTGTCAAATCTCCAAAAGGGTTAATTATCATTTCTTACAAGGCTGTCCCTTTAAAGAAGCAATTTGGATCTTGAAATAGACTTAGGAGCCAATTACAGTTCTGAAAACTCAATTAAGAATATCTATAAGTTAATATCCTTTTTACCAAAGGAAAATGTTTGGTCTGTCTTTAGACTGCCATTGTATATTGCCCCTTCTTTTTCTCTACACTAGCTTCACACAGTGACCAACACATAGAATGTGTTCTAAAAATATGTGATGAATGAATAAATTCTGATTTTTCTAATCACACCCATAATTCTACTGTAAGAAATTGTCTTCAATTTTACCATTGTGGGGCAGCATCTCACAACCAGTGAGTGGTACAAATGATTGCTTGGGACATTTGTGAAAATGGTCTCCTCTTTCTTGGTCAGGCCTCATATCCTTAAACCTACAAAGCGCCCTTGGAGATGTGTCCTCTGGTGGAGCCAAAAAAGTTGTGCTACGTCCTGAGAAGAAAAGGTAATTCACTTGAATTCTTTTCTTTTCATCCATAAATTCCTGGTCCAATTAAAAATGAAGTCAAGACCAGGAATCATATCAAAATGGAAACCATTTTTGTAATTTTATTTTCTCTTAGGATCAAGGAGATGTCTTGAGATAAAGATGGAAAAGATAACGAGAGAGGCAGGAAAAGGAAA